GTTGAACAGTGGCTCGAACTAATAGTTAGTGATGTCACGATCATCGATTATACTCGATCATCGGTTGAACAGTGGCTCGAACCAAGCGCTTAGTGATGTCACGATCATCGATTATACTCGATCATCGGTTGAACAGTGGCTCGAACCAAGCGCTTGGTTATCAAAATCCATAATCAATTTCATCGGAAAAAAAAAACTTAACTTGAACAAGAAAACTTGGAAAAGTGATGAGAATCAGAGATATCATCGCTACTATACAAGTTATCCTTTATTAACATACATGTATTATACACACAGTAGTAAACAGTGCAAAACAAACAGTAAACAGGGCTAAACAACATGCACACACGTACATGCGCACGACGTTACGCACACGCAGGCATTCAACACCCCGAGTAACCGATTGTAACCGATCATCGGTTACTTGGGTCTAACCGATGATCGATTACGAAATTACAACCGATTGACAACACTACTAATAGTTTACAGAAGAGTTTTCACAGCACATGCTTATACTCAAGAGCGTATAAAGAAGGTATATAAGATATACTCTACTACTTTTGTAACTTCGGGATGCTATTGAGCCAGAAAAATTAGCTGCTCATCAAAGCTGACTATATTCCCCAGTTAGTACTTATCAGTTTTACTACTTTTTACAGTACCTCACACACAGTACACACACCTACACGCATGCGCACGCACGCACGCGCGCACACACACACACACACACGTGCACGCAGACGCGTAGTAAAAATCATTTGACTTTTGCCAGCGCCGTTGCCGTGCCGTGCCGTGTGTGGAGACAGGCCTTTTTTAAACAACAGGGTTTCTTCTGAGGGAAAATTAGACAACGGTGGTAATGCCCAGTTTGGGGAAAAACGCACATGTATGATGAATTCAAAGGCGTGCAGTAGGCACGAATGTGAATTCTGCAGGCAGACGCGGGGGAGCTAGAGAGGTAGAGGGGGTTCTGGGGGTCTCCCCCGGAGGGAAAATTTAAAACATTTGAATGTCTTAGACTGCATTTGATGCACCCCGAAAATAAAATTTCACCCTTTAGTTTAAATCTTACTCTGTTAGCAGACCTACAAAGTTTTACGCTGCGCATTTCGCGGGAGACTCACGTATCTGCGTTAATTACAAAGATAATTAAGCATTTATTAGGTCTTGATAGCACTAATGTACC